AAAAAGGAATCCCATTCTTCTTGGGCCATTGAATTCCAAGGGCCCAGGGTGATAATTCTGCCTTGAGTAATTATTCTCCTTTTCCATTTCTACCAGGTGGAACAGCCTGAGGACAGAGATCACGATGGATTCTATGGTGTCTTAGGCCACATAGCTATACTTTAGAGCTGTGCTCATCTAGTTTGCTTAGCTCCAAATAAGCCCCAGGAACCGCCGAGTTGGAATGGTGTGGAATGGACTCGTCAGTTTGCACTGTACTATTGTCCTTTTGTTCATGGAAGCTAACCTTTGTATGTAAACTTGGTCCAGTACCAAAATTCAAGATATTCAGCAATTTCAAGTGATGATGCCTTTTCTTATTGTTTTAAAAGTAAAATTGATTTTTATTTGTGAAAAGTCTTTAAGTGTTGTGGAAACCACAGCATCACAGTATCTGTATGGAGATTATTTCATGTGTATCTTTGAAGGGAAAAGTAATTTGAAGATAGCTCAAATGAAAATGGCATTTGAAAATAAAACTATGGGAGCACATATTTGTCTTCAGATATTGTAGCTTCTTTGGGCCTTTAACAAAGGTGCCATGCTCCCAAGAAGACTGTCAACAGGAAGCAGCATATACTCTTGAATATTTGAACTTACTTTAGAGAAACAAACTCATATAATTGAAGGCCATTGACAAAGTCACATCATGACTGGATAAGTAAAGATTATATACTGAGCAGTGTATTCGCTATGTAATCCAGTGAGAAACATTATATGTTGCATATTAATTTGTAGTTTAGTTTTTCTAATACAAATGTACATAACCCTGATTGTATTATTTTTTAAAATAATTTTTAACAAGGTGTGCGTTAGTATATTTTTGTAAGGTTTTGCTTATAAGAGCACTTATATATTTAAGTACAAAAAATTAGTGAGGGTCTAGAGAAATAGCTCAGCAGTTAAGAGTGAGTACTGCTCATGCAGAGGTCCTGAGTTTGGTTCCCAGCACCCACATTATGCAGCTCATAAGCAAGTACTTGGAACTCCAGCTCCAGGGGACTGACACCCTCTTCTGGTCTCAGGCACTGCACTCACATGCACATACACTGCCCTCCACTCACCTTTCTGACTGCCTCCTCTTCTCCAACCCACTTGGTCCTTACCTCCACGTGCACATCCACACACACACTACCACTATCCCAACATTCCCATTATTCCTTTCAAGAACTCTTGTATCTGTTCCTCTGAACCCTCAGTTCTCAGCAATGATTTTCATGTAGCTTGTTGGCTGTTTATTATTTTAAAAAATTATTTAACTTTATGTGTGTGAGTATTATGTCTGTCTGTATGTAATGCACCTGTGTTGTGAAATGCCAGTGGAGGCCAGAAGAAGGCATTGTATCCCCTAGCACTGGAGTTACAAATGGCTGTTAGCCACCAGGTGGGTATGGGTGTTAGGAGCTGAACCCAGGTCCTCTGCAAGAGCAGCTAGTGCTCTTAACAGCTGAGCCATCTTTCCAACCCCTTGTTGGATCTTTATTTCTTCCCCATTCACCTTAAAGCCCCTTTTGATTTGTTAACTGCTCCCCAAGGACCAAACCTAAGGGTTTTTCTGCAGCTGTCACCCACCCTCACAGCATTCCAGTGTTTACTTCTCTTTTCCCATAGCTTCCCTGACACCACTTTCTCCCCACGATCTGGCTGCTGCCTCCACCTGTTTCTGGATAATTCTCCTTTAACTGCACTGCCTTGAATGTGGTGGTCCTCTCCAGGGAGTGTCAGCATTCTCTTCACTCCCTCACTCTCACCCTGTACTGAAGTCTGTTTTGCTACTAGAAATTTCTAGAATGTTCAGTGAGGGCTCAGTCCCTCTCATTTCTCCCTAAAACTGGCTTCTGCTTAGAATACTCTTCACTATATTTTATGTCGTGAGTCCTTAAGAATACTTTCAAGCCTGCAACCTCATCATACGTGAGGTCTGTCCTACCATCTACTCGAGGCCCTCCCCCTGGGCTCACTTTGAGCTGTGTTTAGCTGCTGGGGGTGGCAACAGCTGCTCTGGTCTGTGGCAGGGCCTGTTCCCTGGGTGCTGCTTAATCTTTGCTCACCTCTTTGCACTTACAGAAGTGGAGGGTGAATTAGTTCAAGCCTCAGGAGACAGAAGCAACATGACCTCTGGGCAACCTCAAGGTCTCAGAAACTAGAGGATAAGAAGAGTCTTGTAAGGGGCTGAAGAGATGGTTTAGAGATTAAGAGTACTCATTGCTCCTGCAGAGAACCCAGGTTTGGTTCCCAGCACTCACACGGAGGCTAACAATCGTCCACAAGTCCAGTTCCAGGGCATCTTCAGCCCTCTTGTGGCCTCTGCAGGCATTGCATGAACATGATACACTTACATACATTGAGGCAAAACATGTAAAATAATTTTTTTTAAAGCATGAGTCTGTTCATCTTTCACATGACACTGAAGGCAACCAAGGTAAGGACAGGCTATACAGTGTTGGCATCTTACAAAAGGACCATCAATTTTAAGTATCAGTGGCTCAGATACGGTGATTGGTGCAGTGCCAGTCTAGATGCTCTGTGTTTCAGATAGAATGTTCAATAAAACTGGTTATCCATCATGTGGGTGGGTTTCATCCAATTTAAGGCCTAAAGAGTTCAGACCAAGGCTGCCCACAGAAAGAGTAGTTCTCCCTTAGACTTACTATTGATCCACTTCATTGCTGGGAGGCAACAGTGGGACCTGGGAGGTTTTTTTTTTTTTCCTTAATGTGTATTGCCTGCATGTATGTGAGTGCACCTGTGTCGTGCAATGCCGCAGAGGTCAGAAGAGGGCTTCGGATTCCCCTGGAACTGGAGTTAAGGACGGTTCGTAGTCACCATGTGGGTGCTGGGAATTGAACCTGGGTCCTCTGCAAGAGCAGTCAGTGCTCTTTAACTGCTGAGCCATCTCTCCAGTCCCAGGGCCTGGAAGTTTTATGCTCCCTGTTATCCCTCAGATTTGATAAAAATATTTTACTGAATATGACATTTAATCCATAACTAGGTTTGAAAGGATAAAGGCTGTGGTATGATTTGGATGTAAACTGTCTCCACAGGCTTATGTGTTTAAATAATTGGGCCTTGGCCAGTGACACTATTATGGAACCTTTAAGGGTTCATGCCTCACTGGAGGAAGGAGTTCACTGGGAGGGAGCTTTGAGGTTTATAGTCTGGTGCTGTTTCCTGGAGATGGGAGGAGGTGAGGACTCTGTGATGCGTGTTGTGGAGCTGCTGCCTGCCATGATGGAAGGAATTCCTCAAACTGTGAGCCTCCTTAAGTTGTTTCTTGCCAGAGATTCGGTTGTAGCCATGAGAAAAGTAATTGAAAAAGGCTAGTTCTAGGCCAAGCTTTCATCTCAGAGAAACCTGGTTTCTAGGGCCACAGCTGGTAAGACTAGTAGATCCATTTCTTTCTCAGTATGAAATTAGTCCAAAGACAATGGCACAGTCTTTCCTTATTTTTCTTTCTTTCAATGCACATGAATCACAACTCAAATTCCTCCTGGTAGCTAGGGAACAGGCTGTACAAGGCAAGGATGGTAAATACAAGATCATAAACCCCACATCAAGCTACAGGCAAACATCATGACATGTGCAGAGGGCTCTGAGTGCTGTTGATGGCTGAGTGTTGACATCCAGTCTGTTGAATGGCCATGTTCCTAATGGGGTCCTTAGTGAGCTGCTTCTGGAATCATTAGTGCAGTTAACTGCCCACTTAAGAGTCATTCTAGTATTCCTTCTGTGTAGTTAAGCTCAAAAAAATGACTTACAAGCTGTTTTATGCTTTCTTTCCCCCATGGCTGAGTCACATTTACTGAAGGTGTTGAGGTAACTGAAGAGTGAACGCTTCCTTGTATTGGAAGGGAACTTAACGTGAATGTAATTTGATTTGGAAGAACGCCTGCTGCTATGAAGCCATAGGCTGAGCTTTTCTTTATATATAAAGGATCGAAGAGACTCTAGGTCAATGTTTATCATATATAGAACTTCTTTTAATTTGTAATAACTAATCTCCCATATAGACATTGGACTTACCATCTTAATTTTTTTTTTTTTTGTAATGAAGTTTTACTCTGTAGCCCAAACTATCCAGGAACCAACCCATTGCAATCTGGGGTGGTCTTGAACAACAATCCCCTGCCTCGGCTTCCCCAGTGTTGAGATTACAGGGATGCACCACCATGCCTAGCTTTTTATTTTTCAAAACAAACTTTTAATGAGATGATCCCACTTACAGTTTAAAAGAGTGAAATGGAGGCTCTTTAAAATGTTTGCTTCTATCCCTAAACTCTAGCCTTTCTTCAAAATTAAAATGTGCTCTCCTGCCCGTTCTAACTATTCCACCGTACCAGTTCCTACTAAAGAACCTAAGTGTCTTCAGTCAGACTCGGATCATGTCTTTTGAGCCTTACTTTCAGGCTAAGACCCCGTGATCTTCATCACTTTGGAGAATGTACCCTCTGCACTGATAAGCACCAGTCCACGGCCTGCCCTGCTTCAGCATGATCCTCATAGCTCGTTTACATTCAAGCTCCTGATCTGAGATGGTCACCTCTCCACTGGTGCGACACTGAAAAGGTGCCTTGGATGTTGTGACTTGTGTTATTTCTACCTTGTATTTTTTCCTCAAATATAGTTCCCTGCCCCAATTATCCTATAATACATTATATATGGTATAATACATTAGTATACTATGAAATTTGATGTAATGGTTATGTCCTTTACTTACTTAATTGACCTTAAATTTTCCTTGTGAGCAACAAACTTGTTAGATAGTTTAACTTCACATATGAACACCATGTTAATACTATTATTAAAAGCCCACTGCTTATTGAACTGAAGAATTCAGCATCTAAAATTAATTGCTAAAATATTACTTTGTTAAAAAAATCCCTGAGCAATGGGTCTTTTGGAATACCATGCAAACATACATTTTAGCTTTTTTGAACCAAATAAGAAAAATTGCAACATGCTTAGTGTAAAAATCATTTTATTATACAACAATCATACAGAATGTTTTTTTTTATCTAAAAGAAAAATGGCTTCTCCTCCCTGTCTACCCTGGTGGTGATGCTGTGACCTTCAGATGTGAGGCTTTCAAAGGAAAACCAAAGATAATGTCCTCATTTTTCTAAAGAGGTGACCTCCAGAACATTCTCAAAATGACAGGGAAATGTTGGGAAGGACTAGGATAGAGTGATCGCTAACATACAAAATGCTTTCTGCCTATCATAGTAAACACCATTTTTCCATAAATAAAACAAAAATAAAGTACTTCTCTGATGGGGGTGAACAGGAACTTATCCACCAATATGAGTAAATGTAATTCTGATGGGTTGAAAATTTCTGTGCTTAATTACATTCAGCAAACACTCCATTTTGTTTTAAAAGTTAGAGGAATTACCAAGACAGGCTTTATAGTATTCACCGAAGTGCTTTTGTTCCCATGAATAAAACCTGGGAAAACACATTCTCCATTTTGTCCATTATAGAGAGAACAACTTTTTTAATGCTTCTGTTTTAGGAAGATCACACTAAAAGTAAACAGGCTAAAATATTTACCAGACTCCATTTTTCATAGCTCAGGTTTTATAGCTCTGCATATTTTATCAGCCCTTGAGTGGCTTAAGGCTAAGTGTTTCATTAGGCTTTGCTCTGACAGGTTTAAAGCTGGCTGGTACTTGGCAGCTGCCTTTGTGGGTCTGCCAAAGCCGATTACCTCCACCTCCTTGCTGTAGAGTGTGAAGTCATGAACGCCCTGAACTGCAGGTATGATGTGCAGTGAGACTTCAGTGTCTCCTTGGCAAGAGTAACCTGGGGACAATGACCAGTGATGTCTCCTCACTGAGTCTCATTTTCACTTTAGTAGCAAATTTCAGATCATATCTGAGAACTAAAATTGAACTCAAGTTTTGCCAAGGAACTTTCTCCTTTGATTAATTTGTGTTCTGTCATAGAAGAAAAATAACATACTCAAAGCTAGCCCTCAAAATGAATTCCTGGGAGAGAACAAGCCACCGAAACAGAGTAAGTCACAGAGATGCAAGTAGTGAGTAAGCACCTTGGAGAAGTTTGAGAAAATCATTTAGAAAATACACTGAAGAGTGAGCGGCTGTCAGGCAGGAATACCGACAGGAAGGCTGGTCAGGAGTGAGGAATGGCACAGGACACAAGGACTGTACTGCTCGACACTTTTCAAAAACTACACTGAGAAAGCGCAGGGCACTTACAAGTTTAAACAGTACACTTTTTAACACAGAAAAATTAAGATGAGAGCTTGCCCAGGGAGGGAGGAATGGGAACAAGAGACAAATGGGTGCCTCTGCTGGGGTGGTGGAGAAAACGCCTTCTGGTGCCCGTGCTCTGGGTGCCAGAGCCATGACCTAAGGACAGTTTTTAAAATGGAGGAAAGATAAAGTGTCAAAGCAGGCAAGTCTGGTTTTGCATGTGTAAGTCTAGAAAATACACCTTTCATTCTTGGTATACTTTAATAGTAAAGGTCCAGCAATTCAGGGGACGTGCCCAGTAGTGCCTTGCTCTGCCTCTGTCCTTCTCTGTGGAGACTGCGTTTCTGTGTAGGGGACCAGGTTCTGTGGCTTGTGCCTGGCCCACACAATCTCTCCAAACTACTACATCCTTTTCTGTTTTGAGACTTAAATATGATCTACAAAGATTAATAGCAACTATTTTGGTAACATTCTTGAATAGGCTCAGAAGAAATAGTTGACAAATTTGATGTCTGTTTTGCCACCAGGGCTCTGTTATATGATTTCTAAATATTCCAAAAGCATTTCCATGCTAAGGAGAAGTATAGATTAGACTCCAGTCTTAGTTCAGAAAGACATGGCAGCCATGTCTAAATTTAGCTTTTAACATGGAGTATGTGTCTTTATTTACCTAGACTAACAAGGGAGGTAGACATGAACATCCAAATAAGGAAACCAAATTAAAACTGAGAAATGGCTCCTATCCAAAGCCCCTGAGCTATGAGGATTTGGCAGAAGGATTTTTTTATGGTTTTTGACAGAGTCTTGCTATATTTCTACAGATATATAGCCCAGGCTGCCTCAGCACCCAAATGCTGGGGTTGCAGGTGCGCACCACCACACCCAGCTTAAGAAGTACTTTTTATCATGTAATGACTGATCTTCAAACTATCTTGAAGATTAATAAATTTCATTACCACATCACTGTTTAGAATCAGAAGTGGTTTCGAGAATTTGACAAACAGGGCTCTAGCTTAAGAGAGGAAGAATTTTGCTAGATTCTCTCCTCTGTTAAGGATCCTATCTAAATGCCTTCTAGGATTGATTCCTAAAGGAACAAATGGACTGATTAATTTATGCAGAGACAATTATTGCTTAATGTAGGCTAGAACAGACCCTGTTATTACAATATAATAAACGTTTTGTTTTACACATATTAATCTAAGCAAAACTAACTTTTTATGTGAAGACTTGCCATGAAAAACAAAGCTCTGTGTTTCCTGGTTTTCTGCCTGAATAAGGCGAGGAGCAGGTGCACCTGTTTGGGGTTTGGAGCATCAGCATCATTTCTGTGATGTGTAGGCATTCAGTTAACAGAGTAACCTAATAGCAATATATTAATACATTCTGGGTACAAATGATTTACAAACTCAAAAGGAATTAGTTTCTACTAAAACATTCAACTTTCAATTCAGTCTCTGCTTTAAAACAGGCACATCTGTTGAGCTAGTACAGTGTTTGTGCTCCCCACCCCCTTGTTCTACTGTGCTTTCTTGTTCATCAGTCCGTTAGCTGCAGTGGAGTGGGCTTTGGGAAAACCGTTCTTCACTCCTTTCCCCACAGGGGGCGCTTGCTTTTCTTTCTTCAGAGGCTTTTTCCGGTATGTCTGTTAGTGTACAGAGAGGAAAAAGGGGGAGGGGGACTTCTTAATAAGGCCTTGTCTCTAATGTCCCAACACGGTACATGGTTAAATCACTACATAACCTTCTTTGGTACTGGCTCTCCTAATAAGAATTCATGTTTGCAGTTTGACCATTTTAAGCCTCTTGCTAAAGATAAAGCTTGAGAGAAAACCAAGAGATGCATGAATGTCAGAAAAGGTTGCTTCACTTTATCTGTTAGGTCAGGATTTGCATAGGATGGACGTGGCATCAAATCAGCCTGCATCCATTGTTCACTTGGAAAGGATAAAATGTATTGTAATTCAAGATAAAAGGGGCTGTTATTTTAAAGGCCACCAATACTTGGGATTCTGGCAGGGCATTTAACACAGTCTCTTTGGTGCTAGAGATGGAAGCCAGGGTCTACTGCATATTGATCATGTGTTCCGCCACTGACCTGCCCCTCAGTTTCACTGTCCTTCCCATTCTGATGAAACGCCACATCTGCTACCTCCTTTGGGCTTCTTTTGAGACAAAGTCTCACGTTGCCCAGGATGACCTCAAACTTTCTATTATCACCTTGAACTCTGGATTCTCCTGCTTCCACTGCCTAAGTGTTGAGATAACAGCCTTTTTACTTTTTAAAAAGCAATGGCATTACCAAGGATCAAGACTGAAATCATACTCAGATTTAGAACTAAGATTCAGTTTGCACCAGCACTGAGGGGGTAGGGGGGAGAGATTTCGATGCTATTACCTGCCACTGCTGGGCTACTGGACCTACTACCCCAGCACCCAGGCTCCACTGCCTTCTTTTTAAACACACTGGTGTATGTGTTGGGAGTTGGGGGCTTTTGGTTCCACTGATGGTTCTTTTTTGGACATTCTCAAGGGAAACTTTTTTATCTTACAAGAGATCAAGTCAGTTTAGTTCAGAGCACATGATCTGAAAAGCTTAAAGGCTCAGTTCCCACAGTTGTCCTTCATGTACTATGTAAGTTTTAGCTAATACAAACTAAAAAAAAAAAAAAAGCAATTGTCTGAAGGAGAAAATATAGTTGGATAGAATTTTAAAAGTATTGTTCAGATATAAATTTATGATGTTCTATTTTTTCAAATGAAGCTTTCCATTTCCCTATCCCAGCAATTTAAAATTTACAGCCACCTGTGGCCTATAAGTTTAGGCTCCCATGGGTTCTTACATAGCAAAGTCACTTTGAAATTGCATTTTGAAGCACTCTCTCATTTAAATTTTTAATTGCAAAGAAAATGTCACTTGATAAAGAAAGTCAGTGTGGCCTTTACATGCTGGTGTGCCCTAAAGGAAATTTCCTGAATGAACACTGCCTCCAAACATCGGAGCAGCTGATACGGGCTTTCTGAATTTATTATTAAAAACATATTGTTCCCACACTTTCCTCCACTCACACTTCCTGGACCTGTGTTGTGTTACTCTACACCTGCTGAGCTTTCAGATGTCAGATTTGGGTCACATGGTGCAAATATGCCTGTCTGTGTAAGTCAGCATTTCTGAGAGACATCTTCCAGGGCTTGCATACAAAGTTTAACCAAAGGCCCTCTACACTCTTAATTGGCTATTCTTTGAGGAGGAGGAAGTGGGGAGAGGAGTCAGGAATGTTTTATCCCTCCTTTGCAGGTGTGAAACACCCAGCATAGAAGTGCACAATTCATTACACTTTGCCCTCAAATGCCTGCACTGTACGTACCTGAACATAAAAGTTTAAGAACAGGATGACCAGTGTCATCATATAGGAAGACTGGAAGATGAGACAGCCAAAGGGGAAGCCGCAGGGCTTCACAACCGCACTCAGTGTGTGCGTGATGGTGAGCAGGAACTGCACCTGGACAGAGGAGAGGATGCAGGTGAGTGGACCAGGCCCAGCACGGCACAGAAGTCCTATCACACCTCAGCTACTGTCACTTCTATATTCTGCAGGAGCAAATCAAGCAAAATTTAGAAACAGCCCACTATCCTGTTCAGAAATGTCTTTTGAAATGATCTAAGTACATAAATTTGCCTATTATTTTCTCATGGAAAAGTAGCAGTTAAAATCATTTAGATAAAAATGATCTCACTCAGGACGGGAGAGATGCTTCAGTGGTTAAGAGCACTGTTCGCTCTTGCAGAGGACCCAGGTTCGATTCCCAGCACCCACATAGTGACTAACAAGCATCCATAACTCCCGTTTCAGGGGGCACTGCATTTATACACATGCTGGCAATACACATAAAATAATGAAAAATATTTTGTGTATGAGTGTATTGGCTGCATGCAGGTCGGTGCACTCATGTCATGCAGTGCCCACAGAGGTCAAAATAGGGCATCAGATCCCCTGGAACTGGAGTTATGGATGTGGGTGCTGGGAATCTAACCTAGGTCCTCTGCAAGAGCAGTCAGTGCTCTTAACCATTGAGATATCTCTCCAGCCCCCAAATAAAGTATTTTTAAAAGAGATCTAACTTGTACATTTAAACTTCCCATTAAAAGCTAACTGCACACAAAAGACATTCCAGTGTACAAAGCAGAACCCTTCAAAGGCTGTTCTAGAGAAAAACAGGCAACCTCAGAAACTCAGAGAAGCCACTGATTTCTCAGAAGACTGGAATTCCTATTCCTTCCCCATTTGTGAGCCATGGGAAGAAGTAAATCAGGGACAACATACCAGCTGAGCCTGTGTGAGGTATTTCTTCCACCAAAGGTACTTGTGCATAGATGGGAACACAGACAGTCCATAGTAGGAGTACATGAGGATGTGGATAAAGCTGTTCAGGGTTGGTCCAAAGAAGCCTACAAAAGGGAGCACATGAGTCAGTGCTTCCAGAAAGAGGACTGTTCATTCTTCTTTGCTGTGCAATGCTCTCTGTGTATCCTAACCGAAAAGGGCTAACGGGTTTGGGACAGTCATGCAGCAAAATTCACACAGATAAATTCCCCCACAGCTGTGCCATTATGCTAGGCTTCAGCAAAGCCTCTTAGACAGAGGGGTAAGTAAACTGAGATAGGTTTTCAGGTAGACAGCCAACCAAACCAGCAACTCTTTAACTGAAAACAGTTCACTTTCTCTTCACTATTGGTCTTCTTGTTATTATCTGGTAATCAGCAAGAAAAAGAAATGTTAGACTAAAACTGGCAGCAGAATCCCACTAAATGAGAATTATCTTTTGTTTTGCCTAAACCTTGACTGAGCCATTTTGATAATAGAAAGACCATATTGTGACTGGAGGAGTGGTTTAACTCCTGCCTAGTGTTCCCAAGGCTGAAAACCAAACCAAAACAAGGCCTTTTCCACATACTTGTACACAGTGCTAGGGAGACAAGAATACACACTGCCCTTCACAATGAAGGAAATTCTACCTAAATTCTGCTGTCCCTAACTGTGGCAATCCTCCTTTGATCTTCATTATAGTCTTCCCTAGAAGCTACACTTCCACAACCAGAGACTGTCCATGAAGAACGTGAAGGCCATTTGTTTTCTGCACATAGTTTGCTTCCTTCCACTGGAGTTTGCATTCGAACCTTGATAACAAGTACTAGTCCTGCAGGCCTCAACTTATGATGGTTCCATTTAATGTCCTTTCAACTTTATGACAGTGTGAACATGATGCACATTTGATAGAAACCATAATTTAAGTTTTGAATGCTGTCCATCTTCAGGTTGGTAACAGTGGTCAAGTCCTCTCTCTGGATGGTGGGCAGCAGCAGCAACTATGGCTCAGTCAGTGCTGGGACCAGGAGATGAGACCACTGATACGGAACATACGCTGCTGCTTAAGCTGGGGTATGCACTGAGTGAGGTGCATAAAATGTGTTTTTAACTTGTGGCACATTCAGCTCATGACAGGCTCCTCCTGCTTGACTCTTTGATAGGATCTTTTCTGTTCTCTCTATAAGACTCAAACTCCTAGGGGAACCCCCCCCCTAAATTTTGGGGGTTTTTTTTGTTTGTTTTTTTGAGACAGGGTCTTGTAATGTGATCTTGGCTGCTCTGGAATTTTCAATGTAGGCCAGGTTGGCCTCAAACTTGCGGTAATTCCCATGCCTACTCTGTCCCCCAAGCTCGGGGATGACAAGTATATGCCACCATACCTATTCTTAAATTTTATTTTAAAGGTTGCCATTTATAACTTGTTCTCTGTGGTACTGGTCATTGAACCTACATCTTCATACATGTTAAGCAAATGCTCTATCAGTGAGCTATAGTCCCAGTCATCCAACATCATTTTTTCTTAAGATTTACCCCATTTAATTTTTCATAGAACATGTTCAAATTCTTAGGGGCAAGATTTTGGCTGCAGGTCACAACCTACCCCTTAATAAGCTGTGACATCAATGTAGGGGATGTGTCATCATCTGTTTGTAAAAGTAAAGTGGGGTTAAAGCAAAGTACCACAGGCATGGAGAAGGCCAGAGAATACTAGTTCATGACAGTTTTTCTTTATACAAAACATATTATGTGAATGAGTACACTAGGTTGTTAAATAAAATATGCATACACGTGCATGTATTTTGAGACAGGATCTTGCCATGTAGCCCAGATTGGCCTCAAACTGGAGATCCTTCTGTCTCAGTCTCCCAAGGCTGAAATTACAGCTGTGCACCACCACATCCAGCTGAAACCAGATTTCTCATTGAAGTTCTAGTTCTAAGAAATTGTCAGTTACTGCATTAGTGGGTCAACAGATTTTCAGAACGTAAAATCAAGAAGGCCTCTAGCTGAAATGACTTGCTGTACATCACCATGAGATGGTGGCTGTGGCAGGTGCTGCCCGAGGTGGCAAGAGTTGCCTTTCCATGGAGCCTGGCAGCACCTGTACTGGTCAACTGGCTCTGACTGGGGCCTGCATCTCTGCCCATCTGACATTTGGTGCATGAAAAAGAAATGTTTTTAGATTTAAGATCATGCTCAGATTTTATCAGCATAAAAATCCAAAAACCAAACGACCAGTGGCAAATGTACTTCCTGTGGTGACAAAGGATGGCCACAGTGGCCTCACTCCATCTCATCAGTGTGTACTGGTTAGCATAAGAGGGACACTACTGGTCTTGTGAGATCCAGTCCATAGAACTGAAAGTTAACAAAATACTTACTTTGTCCACAGGGTATCCAGTTCAAAACACACCACCAGATGTTAAACATAGAGGCATGGTGATAGACGTGAAGAAACGTGATCTGACTTGTCTTTTTTCTCAAAACAAAGAAAATGGTGTCCAGGAACTCTACTAATTTGGAGAAGTAATACCACCACAGCACCCTGGCCACCTACAGACCATTCAAGAAGGGGAGAGAGTGAGAAAGGGTGCGCACTTCTGCCCTGCGCCCAGCCTTCTGCTAGCCACCTGAGGCGCTCTCTGCAGCAATGGCTGATCTGGTGCCTTTGCCTCCAGATTCTTCTTACTCCAAGCAATGCACCCTACTCTAGTGATATGCGGTATCTTTCCAGAACGTGTACGTAATCAAATTATTTGTCTAAACCCATGGCCTCCTACTCTCTGCCGAGGACAGGATCTCCACCCTCCTCCCCCAGCATCCTGCAAGGCCCCATGGGCCCTAAAAGCTATCTCTACCCCATGGCTGCTGAGTCTCCTTCCTGCAGCGGGTCTGGCACACTTAGTCATCCTTCTCTAAATACTCTTAATGTTCACCTTCTCGGCAACTTTGCCTGCTGCCTCCTGTCTTTTCTCAGACAGAACCAGCTGCTTTTTCATTTATACTCCAAGACTACCTTGGCTACCCGTCTATAATCAACAGCTGTAAGAAAACGCAGTGAATGTTGTGAATCCACCAGTAGGTGGTACATCTCTGGCAAGGATGCTGTCCCATTTGGGTGTTAAAAGTCACTTTTACTGTTCCCACCGCATACTTCCTTTGTTTACAAAGGACCACTATCTTGATGCCTCCTGCCTATAGGGTGTTCTGATTCTACTGTGGTTTACACACTTTTCTATTGAAAATTGTCTCTCTTCATGTATTTGGAAACTCACACATCAATAATAAGATTATTTTTAATTCGTTTCCTTAATTTCCCCCCTATAACCAGTTGGTGTTGTAGCAACCTTTAAAACGGTAACAGTAAGCTTTTTTTTTTTTTTAAATTTTAAACTCATATTTTAAAAATACACATTTAGTGTGTCAGCTCATTCCAGGCAGTGTTCTTTCTGTTGCATGAACTACCCCATAGCCAATGGGAGGCAGTCTTTAAGGCTCCTGTAGCCATGTGTGACACCCACAGCCATGGAGAGCTTCTTTGCTCTGGATCACAGGTTCGTCTGAAATACATTTCCTGCCCCGGACCTGGAACTGGCCATTTCTCTAAGACTCATCCCTTCTGGTAGAAAATTATACTGAGATAGCACCTCTGGATAGTCACAGCTCACTGCCTTTGGCTATCACCGACTACAGAGTATTCTTCTGCAGATAAATCTAGGAAATAGGTTTTTCTCTTTTATAAGGTTAATTCTGTCATTTCCAATTTAAATATATGATTACTGAATTTAATTTTCACAACTTTCATAGGTATCTCTTTTTTCAAATATCAGTTACTAATGATATTAATCTATTATTATACTTTATCCTACAGTGCCCCAAAACAGTGATGCCATTTTTATGGCAATAGCAGCAAAAACTACTAAATTCTGTTAAGGTTTCCCACTAGGCTGTCTTCCCCAAATAGCATACTTTGCAGTTCATTTGCTGGGTGACGCTGGTACCCTGCTGCACAGGTACATTCATTTCCCCAAGCTTCTTCCAGACATTTGGGGAAGACACTCACTCTGCTTTCTGTTAACATTTCATTTCATCATATATCTATGCAAAATGAGATTCCCCAAATCAAACACAGCACAGACACACAGAGAGCAGGCTAACCCCCTCCTAGCCTCTGTCTTGCTTCTTCCCCTCAAAGGAAACAATCTGAAGTATTTGTTTTTTTCCTGCCATTGCTTCTTTTTAAAAATATAAGTAAATACACACCTGCCACCTCTAACACAGAAGGTGGTACATGGTGAACACAGTCTGCAAGTTGCCTTTTTTCACTTAAATATGCCCTAGAGGCAATGATAGCAATGCAGAGACCATCCTCAGTCCATTTTGTAGAGGCTTCCTTGGCATGGATGTGCCATGGACTTTTAGAAAATATTGTTGTCACTAAGTATTTCTATCAGAATAGGAATCCTTGATCTATCTCATCCCAGCCCTGTCCTCACTGCAGGGGGGAAAATCTTTCACCCTTTGCCAGTGGGAAGTGCTTCTAACAGAGGGCTCACCCGGACATCACCTTCCCCCGCACTGTCCAGGTTCTGACACTGTAAGTTGTAGCCTCCTTCCCAGCTGGAGAGGATGAGCTGCCAAAGAACCAAGAAAGGGGAAATCAACACAGAATCTGGACTAGACTGAATTTCCCATTATGTCCCCAACTGGCATCTATTCAAGGTTAGAGACGAGACGTCCCAGAGTTTGAGTGTGACCCAATTCTGTCCTCAAGATCGTACTAGAGAGAGATTTAATTCTTATTGCTAGTCTGAAATCAGCATTTAGATTTCTTAGTATAGTTTCTATCACCCAAAGGCAATAGAATCTATCACTATAGTATCAAAAGTTTATATGAAGGATTATCTATCTAGTCATCTGTTTCTACAAGTAAACAGAATTGAGTATAAACAAATGTGAGGAAGCTATCACAAAAGTATTTTCAGTTTCAATAATTTTATAAAATGTATATTACCGGGCTGGAGAGATGGCTCAGTGGTTAAGAACACCGACTGTTCTTGCAGAAGACCCAGGTTCGAATCCCAGCACCCACATGGCAGCTAACAACTGCTGGTAACTACAGTTCCAGGGGATCCGGCACCCTCTTCTGTCCTCCGCGGTCGTTGCACAACATGAGTGCACTTACCTACATGCAGGCAATACACACATACACATAAAATTAAAAAAAAGTAAAATTAAAAAAAGTTTAAAAATGTGTATTGCCATTTTACAGATGTTTAAAAGGAGAGAGAAACGTTAAAATATGTTTTCATTGTATTTGCTACTTGGTAATCGGATAATTTATATGATTCGTATCTATCTTCACATTACTCTGAAATAAAAAGCTGCCCTTTTGGGGGCTCATCTTTGCATCCAAGGATCCTTCTCCAGTCCCTGAGTAAGTGTGTGGTAGACATTGATGAGCAAATGACTAGCTCATAGTTACGCAGCTAAAAGGTGGTCGGATCACGACTAGAATTCAGGCTTCCTAATTTACTGTTTTCTGTTCTTCCTACAATGCGAGAAAATAAGCTTTTAGAATTCTATGTTGAAAACATTACAAAAGCAGCTCTCTCTATATAAAAATTTCAAATTCTGGAATATAAGGGGTTATAGGCAAAGGCGTAGAATTTTCCTTTGCTTTAGTGACACTGATGAACTCTAAATAACTAATGTTTAGAGCCTTGATCTTTTTCACTGCTCTGATATGCTTCTCTTTTCTTCTACAAAAATTCTTCAGGTAAAGTCATTATAACCACTATTATGAAGAAGAGTAGTCCAGGGAAAGCAGAAGCATGCTATGTTTTCCTCAGGGGCTGTCCTGGAGTCAGGTCCCCCCAGCAGCCTCAGGGCTTTATGGTCCTGTGGCAGGCTGGCAGAGGTCTGGGATGCCTTAAAGGGCATGTAATATTTTTCTGCTGGTGTAATTTTCAAACTAAGAAAACTACTTTGAGATGTTAATTTAAAACATTTACAGGAAGGTTGTAGTTAAAGGGTTCTAATCTCTACTTTCTTTGCTAACAGTGCAACTGTTAACCCCTTAGTGACAGAGCATATTCTGTTTGCCTAGGACTTGTTCTGTTTTAACCAGATTTTTTCTAGGCTACCCCCAATCCCGTGTCGCCTGTGCAGAGTTATCTAACAATTTAGTAACTATAGCAGAACTGCTCAGCAAGCCACAGGAAGATACCTATGGGGTCCTTCATAACCCCTACCTAGGCTGGGTATAGGAGCCATCCAACCTTCGTACTGAAGGAAAGAAAACAAGGCTGTCAGAAAGGGTCAGCCTAGAGCTTGAGTGGATTCACTAACTTCAAAGCTAACCCGAGTCCCTCGACTTCAGCTAAGCCTCAGCACCTTAGCTGGCAGCTGCAGCCTGCACAGGCATCATCTCCTCCTTGGATCTGCTTCCAGACTCGCTCCTTTCCTAAGGGAGTGCCTCTTTCCCTTTGCCACGTAAAGAAACTAAGTCCATAAACTGCTTTATCCTACCAGCTCACCGCATGTGCTAAAACACCCCCGCCCCACAGAGAAGCTTAATGATGGTCTATGTGATATGTCAGCATGGCTTTCCTGATGCAGTTCCTGCTCTTAAGCTTCACTCTAGTCATTTGGGACAATAGCTAACCTCCATCACTAGAACAAGGAGCAATGCACAGAGTAAGTCTGGGAGAGAAAACCTGCACTGGAAGATGAGGATTTACTTTCTTTTTAACTCCAAGGACATTAGGAAGGTCTTATTTGTGTCATTTCCTACCTTTTATAACTTATATGAATGATTTTATCCCAAATTTTCCTTAAAAAAGATTTTTGTTCCCTTCACTCCTTTTAGTTGTTTTTGCTAGAGCAAGTTTAATATTCTCAGATTTCTCCTTGTATTACGGCAAAATGACTTTGGGTTGCCTTAGGCAGAACAATCATCACTTCCTTCTTCCTCTCCTAAACTGCCTCAGGTTTTAGAATACAGGTTGCAGGCTGCTCTGGCAGCTAGAGCAGACGACAGCATCATCTCCACCTTGCCAGGGTTCCAAAGACCCAGTAAGACTCTTCAAGTGAGTATTTGCACCTCTGTAAACTAACTGCATGTTGTGATGTCAGATTTTTAAAAATATTTTATTTGTTATATTATTTTATGTGTAAAAGTGTATTGCTTATATGTGTGTAAGTGCACCCATGTCATGCAATGCCTGGGGAGGTCAGAAGATGGCATCAGATGCCCTGGAACTGGAGTACAGGTAGTTGTTAGCCACCATGTGGGTGCTGGGAACCCAACCTGGGTCCTCTGCAAGCTCTTAACCACTGAGCCAGCTCTCCAGCCCTGTGATGTTTGATTTTTCACATACTCTGTTGATTGCTGTATATCTCAGGCAAACTATGTAACTTTTCTAAGCCTCAGTATCATAATATATAAAAGGAGAAAATTACAACACATTCTCTTCAAATGTCCCCTTCAGATCTAAATCATGATTATAATTTCAATTTGACTAAGGACTGCAGAAATAGGACTAAATTGGGAAAAGGACAATTCAAGTTAGAAACAAGGGCTTCCGAGACTTTGGGGAGGAAGAGAATCAATGTAAAACAAATTCTTGGGTTCTTAATGGTGCTCTACTAAGTGCAACCATTCACAGGATGTAAGACCACATATGACTGCTTCTCATACTCAATCACTGCCCCCAGCTTGGGCTACACACACACACACACACACACACACACACACACACATGCACATGCTTACCTCCACCAGCATATATGCAGAAAGAAGTGTGATTCCGAAGTTATACAGGGTGAGGATTCCCCTGAGAGAAAGAGCAGGCCTGTTCTTCATGTACTTGTTACCCAGCCATATTGAGAGCAGATAGATGACAGTAAGGGTAAAGGTAGGAAGGTACGAGTCCAACAGGAACCACCCCCGGACTCGAGAATCTGGAAAGAAATGCACAGAGTGAGGACCGAGGCTTCTATGCATCCAGCAGCACGGATACATACTGTCCATGCAGCAGCCCCCTTATCCTTGGTGGATACACTCTGAGATCCCCAGTCGGCACCCCCTGCTTTTCCTATACATCCTTCACAAGTTAATGCCCGCTTTTACCATGCATGTCTGCAGCTTGAGATGCAGGAGCACAAACTGCTTTCCCTTAACAGTTTCAGGGATTTATGGTTCCTACTCTGGATCTCAGCAACCTCAGCCCTGGGATTTTTCTTCATCAAGTTGGGAATTTTCACCTTTTCACATAAAGGAAACACTTTATCGTTCTCTTTGTTATAGCCAAATTGCCAGCATCATTACTCCTGTACCCCAGACTATTATTAAGTCAAAGAGGTGTTACCTGAATGCAAGCACTGTGGTACTGCACAGTATCACTGACAGCCATGAAGGCTACGAGTTGAATCATGGATGGATGGATATACTGAACAGAAGGATGATTCATATTCCAGATGGTAGAGTATGGGTTCATCACACTACTTGAACAGCATGCACTTTTAAACTTATGAATTATTATTTCTAGAATTTTCCATTTAATATTTTTATTGTTGTAGACTGTAGGTAACAGAAACTACAGGAACAAGACTACAGATAAAGGCACTTCAAACACACAGTGGAGACCAGTATGATGCAGAACTAAGCAAGCTAGAAGTCAGTAATGTGGTAGAAGAAACCAGTATGCTGAATAGTTAAGAAGCATTCACGGAACAAATAGCTTCAGCTGAACATTGAATGGTGGGGGAAGAGAGAAAGCTGGAATTGAGCTACTGAATTCCGCTTTGGAGCAGTTACTGCGTTCATTTATCCCAAGTCAGTGTATCACGACATCTCATGGATGACAGAATGTGGAGGAAGCCCCAGTAGCTTGCAGCAGAGTTTAGAGCAGTTTGAATTTATATCGTCACCTCAACTGTTATTCCTTGCTAGGGGCCCTCCCATTGGGAAGATCTGGGTGGTCCAAGGAAAGAGGACACACTGATGTGGTGTCATAATCCCTAGAATTTGCCTGGGATCACTGTGTAGTCAACCCTGGTGGGTTTACTGACATCAACAGAGAGGCCTGGGTCCAAAACAATAGGCGTGGAGAGTCAGGACAGCAAAGGCAAAGCCTTGGAGCACAGGAAGCAAAGCTGGGAATGCAAACCTGCCCTCAGGACTAAGCATGAACAGCAGGAGCCAGTACCGTTCACCAAGTGCTCTTACTCCAGGGAGTGAGAATCTGACCGCCTACCTGGAGGCCATGGTGGAGCGCTAACACGTCCTGAACAGCTGAAAGTAAATGTAGGCACAGGATGAGGCTTGTTCTTTGTTCCACCCTATTTGTTAAGGACAGCAGTCTGGCCTAGAATTATGAAATTTGCACACTGTTTTTAATCCACACGAATAGTGGTGAGGAGCTCGTTTCACCAACAGGTAGTGTCTTTTTTTGCCCACTCTGGTTCTCACAGTCCCGGTCCCTCTTCTCGGGATGCCCTACACCCAGTCTACACGGACTTTTTCTTAAACCACCCTCTTTACAAACTACACTAACTAGGAGAGTGCTGTTGTGAGCACTAACATGCCATTACTTACTCTCTAGACTTTTCCCTTTGGTGGCTGAGACAAAATACATGAAAATCACAAAAATTCAATAAAAAATTTAAAAAAGAACATATCTTTTGAGAAATATTGATTTAAAAAAATAGGTGAAAGGGGGGGAAAGGTGAGCGGTTAGCGCTCACGTCTAGGTGTCTCAGTCAGGCCCACGTTCATCTAGGAAGCCCGAGTACAATGTGCTGTCCTCACGCTCGTCTCCCTTTCTAAGTCCTGCCCGTCCTTGAATGCCGAGTAAAGAAGGTGCTGCTTCTGAAGGGAGCCATTTACACGGCCCTTCATAACCATGGCTTCATTTGCCATTGCATTCATTCGTCTAAAGGCAGCTAGGGCTGTACTGTCATAAATAGCAGTGAGCCTGAGTCTGTGCCAGGACCCATCTTAAAGCTTTTCCATCTATTAACCTGTTTCCCAAAACAATCCTACTAGACACTGCTATTCCCAGTTAACTTCTGAGAAAAACTGGGCCACAGGGGGTGGAAAAGTTATGTAACTTACAATAAACTGTACCCTACCTCTTGCTATGGCATTGTAGTTTGAACTGTATTCCACTAAGACATGTTCAAGCCCTAACTCCTGCTACCTATGCATGTGGCATTACTTGGAAGCAGGGTCTGTGCAGATATAATCAAGTTAAGATGAGGCCACACTGGATTACAGAGGGCCCTAACCCACTGCACGTGCCTTATTAAGAGAGGGCTGCTTGGGTACAGGGAAAAAGAAGATATGTGAAGACAGGCAGAGAGGCTGATGAGTCTAGAAGCCAAGGGACACCAGACTGCCAGCAACCCCAACACAGGGAGAACTGTACCACACAGATGCTTGGTAACCTGTAACCTTGAGGGGATGAAGGGGACCCAGCCTTGACTTTGGAACTGAGAGAATAAGTTTTATTGTTAAAGCCATTCAGATTATGGCTCTTGTTCATGGCTGTCCTAGGAAATGGATGGTTTAGTCACTTAACTGCTTCCTGACTGTTTCAGATGTGTTTGTGTTACCTCAACTACTGTCTGCACGCCATGAGATAGTGGCCAGTTCTCCTCTCCTGTCATACCTGTAACTTATATCCTCAGTGCTGAGTTAAGAGGAAAGGAGTGTAAAGTCTATCAACTGGCACACTGGGTCAAGCACACGGTGTGAACGGAACACAGCACCATACATTTTCACTGCCATGTTGTTGCACAGGCATGCTACAGTTGCTAAGGTTGATCATAATCACTACAACTAAAACATGGGAACACATGCTTGTAGAAACATTTCTTGGGACGTGAGCAGTGGTACTCTGGGTCTGCACCCAGCATGTCCCTCCGTGGCACTGTTCACTTAGAACAACAGGTCTGAGAGTCTAAATGGAAAGTGGGGGATCGTCCAAATAATCTCAAGTGCTTATTAAAAGATTGTGAGAAACAGGAACACCTCCGCAGACTCCTCCTCCCTGTCTTCACTGACAGGCTTAGGGAAACAACTTACAGAGACCAAGGATTTTCCACAGGTTTGTGAAACAGCCAGGCTCAAGTGAAGCGAAACACTTTGTCCACTCTTCATTCAGTCACAAAGTACAGAGTTCCTATTTATTATCCCCAGAACTGTTTAAGCCCTGGACAAAGATGGTGAGCAAAGCAGTGCTGGTTTTCTGTCCTCAAGTGAGAAGCTGCTACAAATAACCACAAAGCCTATGCAGGAGAGAAGCAGGGGCTAGCGTCATGAGGTGCAGTGGAAGGGGAGCCTGCCTGGGGAGACAGCCCACAGCTGGTGTTGGAATGGAGCGGGAGAGAGCAGGGAGGAAATCACGGTTTAGCAAAACAGGAAATAAAACAATCTTACATGTTTGAGGAACCAAAAGGTGTCTTCAGTCCCACCTGGGAAGCTAGGCCCTGACTGGGTTGGAGGGTGCTGGGGCCTGATGATTCTAGGTGTGGTCCATGATAAGCATGGCTTGACCCTCAGGGCAGTGGGAAGACACTGGTAAGCTACAAGTCAGAATACTGCACAATGGTACAGGGTCAGCTGACAGCAAGTGACTGAAGAGGACAGAGACCAGTCAGGAAGCTACTGCAGTCTGAGTGATGAAGATGGAATGGCTAAGACACTTGTCCATACACCCCAACAGTCCGAGGCAGGAAATCTCATGCATCATTAAAAGTAAGCAGAGGAGGCATGTGAGTGCAGGAGTCTTTACATGACTGTGTGTGTGAGGAGGCATGTGAGTACAGGAGTCTGTACATGTGTGTATGTGAGGAGGCATGTAAGTGCAGGAGTCTGTACATGTGTGTGTGAGGAGGCATGTGACTGCAGGAGTCTGTACATGTGTGTGTGAGGAGGTATGTGAGTGCAGGAGTCTGTACACGTGTGTGTGAGGAGGCATGTGAGTGCAGGAGTCTGTACATGTGTGTGTGAGGAGGCATGTGACTGCAGGAGTCTGTACACGTGTGTGTGAGGAGGCATGTGACTGCAGGAGTCTGTACATGTGTGTGTGAGGAGGCGTGTGAGTGCAGGAGTCTGTACACGTGTGTGTGAGGCATGTAGGCTGACATGAGAGGGGCCACCTGGCTCTGTAGCTGGGAGGTCAAGTGGGAGAAACAGGGCTTCTGGATATTCTGGGAAAGGAACATAAAATGCAAAGTAGATGAAGTTCCTCAGCGTGATGTGCCACGCTATTCAAAACACCTGAGTCACCATTCCTATAGGTAAAGGACCTTCTTCCTGTGGTTCTCCATAGTACATTCTCATCAGCTCACTCACCTCGTGGTCCAAACATATTGTCCAAAAAAGCATTGACGTCATCATCGATAGCCTTCAGATGCTCCTGAGAAGAGGAGGAAAATTATTTAAGTGGCTTTTTTTCTTTTCAAATTTTCAAACTGCTATCACCAACCTGTAACTGCTGAATCTACAAGGGCCCCAGCTTCAATAGCTGACTGCAAACTTCAGGAAAATGGCCAGGAAACCCAGACATGCCTTTCACAAGCTTGCAAAGATCTGGAAGGAAACAGTTCTGTTCACAACATTTCCTTAGGCAAGAAGAGTCCTGGAAAATGGGCTTAATGAAGTTAAACACTTGGAGTTACTGACCTCAATTCCATCTACCTCTAAAATGCCTAGTGGCAAAGCTGTTCCACAAGCAGCTTCTATTGTGATGGACAGAAGTGGTGTGTAGGAGCTGGGACTTATGAGTGTGGAAGAGAAACACAGCTTTCTACAGGAATTCAGCAATGCCTTGTTTCACAAGGTCAAACCTAAAGCTTTAAAGAGGGCTTGTTTGTCAAGTAGTAGAATTGAGCACTGAAGCTATTTTTTATGGTTTGTTCTCAACTTTGTATACATTAGTATCTGATTAATATTGCAGTAAAGAATGTCACTTGGGTGTACCAGATTAATTCCTGTCACTTACATAGACTGAGACAGGGGCTGGGACATTATTAAGAATCTTAAGCTGGATGACTTGGCTGCCACCACCCTGATCTACCTCATGCCCCCTGCCTGTCTGCTCTAAATGGCTGCCCGAATTCCCACCCCTGCCACAAAGGTCTGGAGCCCCTCTTCAAGCAAGAAGTAGTAATGACAGAATCTTCCAGTGCTCTGGGAAGGGATGTCTAATGATTTTGGCAGTACTGAGTGTGACAACCTCAGAGGTTCACACAGAATGACCTCCACATTTAACAGCTGAGTGTAATCAAGACATCAAAAGCACATTACACTTAGCGCAAGCACCAAAGAGGGGGAATCCTCCAGCATCTGAAGACAGGATCTGCACATTGTGATTGGACTGGGCTGTTGGGACCTATTCCTATTCATTCTTTGGTCCTAAAATTTCAAGAAAAAAAATGGGTCTTTAGGAAGCTTAGGAAGCTTGAGAGGGGAGGCTGGGGATTAGACATTATTCACTGAGCATCCACCACAGCTGGCCAGTAAACTAGGAACTTTATTTTCCTTATTTCGTAATATTTTTATAAAAAGTGTTTTGGATAAATGAAGCCTCAACATTTGTAAACAGCTCTTTTATCTTTGGCTTCCACATGGAAATCTCAGGAGAACTCTAGATTTGAGAAAGGTCAGTGACCTGACATCTCAGCCTGGCAGAATATAGTCAGTGTGGCTGTCGGGACAGGAAGGTCTGTATGGCTCTCCTTCAGCAAAGAAGACAAATAACATCTTAGATGGGCTCATCATGGTTGCCACATCCACGAGCAAATGTTTAAACCTTTCAGTTTGTTTGCCAAGGTTCAAAATCCATTTTTCAAAATTTACAGAGCTAAGAACGCTCCAACTAAGGACGACAAACCCATCATTTCTGTATACTTGCAGAAATTTGCTCACAAAGGGGAAGCAAAACATGAGAAGACAGGAAGAGAGAGCAGAGAAGGGAAAAGGGCCTTCCGTTCCTTCCTACCTGCCGATTCATTCACTAGTCATCGAGTGCTTCCACACACCAGATACTGAAGTGCAAAGTCAAATAGGACACACTATCCTCAAGGAGTTTTCAGTCTAAAGATGGTGCAGGACTAAAACTCCTAGGAGGGAGGTTTGCAGCGCTAAACCAGAAAAGGACAAAGCACTTAATTATGATCTCCTCAAGGGGCTTCCAGGAAGAGACAAGACTCTTGGTGAATTTTGACCCTCTGAGACATTGTCTAGGAGAGAAAAGAAAAGGCACATTGGATAGTGTCTCAGACATGAATACACTTAGGCATGGCTCACCTGGGAAATGTTTATGGGTCTCTAGTGGCCCATACAGCAGAAATACTGGCAATACTAGGAACATTTTTTAAAGCTGATTAAAAATTCCCTTTGTCTTTCTGGATTATTAAGAATAGTTGGTAAAGGACAGCATAAAAATATCAAAACACTGACTGAACTACACTAGACTAAATCATCACGTGTGAGGGCTGAGCAAGATGGCTCAGCAGGTAAAGGTGCTCGCCAACAAGCCTGATGACCTGAGTTTGATCCCTGGGACCCACAGGTGAGGTGGAAGCAGAGAATGGAATCCTACAAGTTGTCCTCTGAACCCCCTCCCCCATCCCCTACCTTTGCATAGCATGTGTGTGCACCACAATAGGTGCACACAACTCCAATAAATAAATGTACCACCCACTGCGTCTCTATTCCATTTCTCTCACCCTCTCACCCCCTCACCCTGTCTCTTGCCAGGCTTGGACCCAGGCGGGCCCCAACTCCTCCACCTCAGATCCCTGGACTAGCTTCCTACCCCAGACTAGCTAAACAACTGACCAGAGATTGCTAAGTCCCTACTCAAGCAGCACCCCCACCCCCCACCCCCACACCATCTTCCTTGGCTCCCAAGCAGGACAGGCCTGCCCAGCCAGGACTCCAGTAGGTCAGATCCCACCCACTCATTGTGTCTCTACTCCATTCCTCTCACCACCTTTACCCTGTCCCCTCTAGCCTTGGACCCAGGTGGGCCCCAATTCCTCCACCTCAGATCTCTGGACTAGCTTCCTAACCCTGACTAGCTAAACTCCCTAGCATAGACTCCACTGTTCCTGATCTGTCTGACAAAGACCAGCCCTCCTACTAACCTGACCAGCCTACCTACTCCTGTCCCACCATTCACCCAGACCAGTCTACAACCCTATAAGAACCTGAAACACACATATTTATCTTCCATACCTGAACAAAAAGAAACCAAGCAACATAATCAATATTAACAGAACCAAAATTAAGTTAAACAAAAGCAGAGTAGAAGCTCCTACTGGACACATAACCAACACAGAACATCTATAGGCCCAAACGGCAACGCAAAACACAAATAATATGAAAAGCCAAGAGAATATGTCCCCAACAAAACCCACTAGTCCTACTGAAGTACATTGCAATGAGAATCACCCTTTGGAACTCCAGGATGCAGAATTTAAAAGAATAATCATAAACATGATCAAAGAACTTAAAGAAAACACAGACAAATAAATAAACATAATACAAAATAATTTTAAGTACAGAGTCTTGTAGTGTTAGCTAAGGATGAATGGCTACCTAGCATGAAGAAGTAGCAGGCCTGTCAAGCTCATGGCCCACAGGTCACATGCAGCCAAAGAAGGCTATGAATGTGGCTTAATACAAGATCCTAAACTTAAACATCAAGAGAATTTCTTGTGATATTTTTGTAACTTGGTTGTATGGTTCTCAAGTATGAACTTTGTAAATAAGAATGTTGTATCACAACGTCAAAGGCTAGGACAACCCTAGTACAATGTGAGCAGGATAATCGCAGCTGTTCATGTACTAGACCCTGCAGGTGTCCATGAAAAAGCACACTGGGAAATTCCTCTGTTTCCCAGCACCATAACGTTGAGCTGAGAAAACCAGCCAACTCCAAGTTGCACTTCATTCAAACAACATTTATGAATGAATATGCATATGTAACACTGTCAGGCATTTGAAGAAGAAAAACTAAAGTGCTTGGCTCAAAAGTTTACAGATAAATTGGGAAAGTGAGACATAGGAAGGCAAACAGCAAATTCTGAGGGAGAGCCCTAAAACAGCCACCATGGAGGAATAATGGGAAGACTTGGCTGGGGGGCTCGATGACGGTCAGAATCTGTAAATTGGAGGGAGGGGGTGGGAAGCACTGATCCTAGACCCAGGCAAGGCAGGCACTGTTCTCAGCTCCACTCCACAGGGCCTGTCTCTGGTCACCTTTTGAGCCCATGGCAACAACATCCTCTCCAGAATATAATCCCTGAGCCCAGCTCTAAAACAATACCTCTTGCCTCCATAAGAAAGTTCATTCCATGACTTAGAATTTAATCAGCAATTGTATTTAGAAAGAATAGAAATAAGAAAAGTCTTTTTTTCCCAAACCCATGCCTTCTGCACACCAGCTCTACTACTGAGCTACATCACGGCTGAAGGAGGGTCTTCATTGTGTATCCCTGATTGCACTACAACTGGTGGGAATATAAAAGGGAGCAGCCAGCTCACACAACACTGTTGAAGACAAACATTCCTGTCACATGATCCAGCACGAGCTTCTAGGTATTTACCCAAGAGGAAAGAGAACAAATTCTATGCAAAGACTTCCTCTCAAATATACAGAGCAGTTATTTTTGTGATACTCCCAAATCAGAAACCACCAAATGTTTGCCAACAGGTAACGTATGAGGTATAGGTGAACAATTAGCTGGTACTCAGCAATATAATGCAATGAACTGAAGATGCACAAACAACATGGGTAGATCCCAAAATCATGCTGCGTGAAAGATAATACTCTATGTTTCCATTTCTACGCAATTTTATAAAACATAACTATGATTATAGAAAACAGCAATTGCTTGGGTACTGCAGGAGAAACCAAAATACCCTTCAAAGAAAAGGGTTAAATAAGGACATCTGCACATACGAGTGAGTGAGAACATGTAGCCAGCTGGACTGCACATCAGAGTGTGTTGAAAATGTCTTCAAAGAGAAATTATTCCATATGGAAAGTAGAATTTAGAGAAGTCAAGAGCCCCAGAAATGAATCTAGCTGAAGAACTATAGCTCAGAGCACCTAAAGTGAGCTGGCTTCCACATCCCATCATGTCCACGATTAGCTCAGTACCCCAGCACCACCTCTATCACCATGCTCATCCTCACCAGCTGGAAGCAATGCCTGGATAACACCTGTTCTTCCTCCTCCCACCAGTATGAGGAGCACCTGGAGGAGTGGCGATCCATATGAAGACCCTTGGGAAGACTACAGAAACTGAGAAGTAGTCTCAGAATATGCCCTTGCCCCACCTCATCCAGAAGATTCTGTTGGCACTTGGGGAGCAAGAGGCCAGGAATAGTGAACTTAGCTTTTGCCCCCATGGTGCTGATTGGACTCCAGGTCATCATCCATAATTGTGCCAGTTGTAGGTCAACACAAACCAGGCTGTTCCAAGGCAGGGGCGGGGGGGCGTTGCTGTTCTCTGGTCTGTTCTTGAAGGTTTCCGTGAAGCCTATGGTTGCTGAGAGGGCTGCTGTATCTTGAGCATCTTGATTGCCAAGGTTTTCCTCAAAGAACTTTCCTTTCATTTGGCCATCACCATCATGATTAAGAGCCACTTTGCAGAAGTGGAGACAGGAGAGCAGGCAGAGACGAGTCTTACCATGACCCTGTGTGCTCTGCTGCACTAAATACAGGACTACAGATTCTGTCTTGCTTGTCCTTTCTCTTTATTTCCCTTTCTCCTCCTTCTTTCACGCCCTCCTCTTCCTTTACCTTCCTTCTGTTGTTTTAGGTATTTTAAAGGTTTTTAAAAAATTACTGGTGTGTGTGTGTGGTGTGTGAACATGTGTGCCACAGTGTGCATATGGAGGTCAGAGGACAACTTGTAGAAGTTGGTTGATTTCTCTCCTTTCACCATGTTGGTCCCAGGAATCAAACACAGATTATTGCACCCACTGAAACATCTCTTTGGCCTTATTTTGCAGTTTTTAATATTTACCTATGTGATGGTCTGAATATAATGTCCCCCATAGGTTCCAAGTATTTGGACATTTTACTCCAAGTTGATGTGCCGCTTTGGGAGATTTTAGGAGGTGTGGTCATGCTGGAGGAAGTACATCACTGGAGGCTGGCTTTGAGAGTTCTTGAGCCTTGACAGATTTCCAGTCACTCTCTGCTTCCTGTGCCTGCTTGAAGATGTGAGTGCTTCACTTCTGCTCTGACCTTCTCCTGTCACCATGCCTCCCCACTGTGATGGACTCTAATCCCTCTGGAACCATTAGCCAGATAAACTGTTCCTTCTGTAAGTTCCCTTGGTTAGGGTGATTTATCACAGCAACAGAAAGTAACTAATACAGAAGTTGGTACCAGGAGTCTGGTGTTGGCTGTGAAGAACCTGACCATGTGGGTTTTTGGAGGAATATGGAAGACTTTAGAAATTTGGACTGTAAAAGTGGTTGACCACTATAAGCAAAGCTTAACAGGCTAGTCTAGTAGGAGCTGAAAGAAAGTAGTGCTGAGAACAATGTAGTTCCAGAGGGAAATAAGGACTTAAGTAGTAACTGGGATATTTTGGCAAAGAGTCTGGCTGGAGTCTGCCCACAGCCTAAGAACTTGCCTGAGGCTAAGCTGAAAAGAAATGGACTAAATTCTTTGTGGAGGACTTTTCAAGACAGACTAATGTAGAATCAGTGGCATGGCTATTAAGGTGAATATTATGGAGATCAACAGTGAAAAAGAGCAAGTGGGACAGAAAGGAAGGTAGAATGTACAGTTTGGACTGAAAAGGGGCAGTAGGAAGATTAATGTTGGAGGCAAGGCAAGTGCTGGAGTGGCTTCCTTTGATAAAATTAGAGTGATTAAGGAAAGGCATAGAGATTTGCACTTAAATAACAGAAAAAGTACCTTCAGGGAAAGCCCACACCAGTTAAGCCTCCAACTCGTGAAAAAAAAAAAAAAAATGTCAAAGAGGTTTTTGCTCCTAGAAAACCACATCATAAAAAAGCTGCTAATGTGGGTGAAGCAGGCCAGGATCCATCCCAGGCTGGTAGCTGAATTTGGCAGTGTCATTCTCTTCATGTGAGCTCTAGAAGCATGACGATACACGTGTAAAGGGATCATCTGTTCTTCCGCAGTTTCAGAG